CAAAGGAGACTGGTTGATGTGAGAGATGAGAGGAGAATCTAGGAGAACGCTAACAGCAGAGCCACTAACAGAAACTAACAGAAAACAAAATAAGGAATTCTAGATTGTTACAGACAGGATGGATGGAGAAAAAGGAATGAGTACAGTATTGGGTGTGTTGATTTGATGTGCTGGTCAAACATCCAGGTGGAGACACCCAGTAGGCAGTTGTATCTAGAGCTTGGGAGGGCATTCAGAGCTCAATGGCATCAAATACGAGAGAGATGCTAAAGAGGCCAAGGGACCGAGAAATGACCCAAGAATTTGGTGACTGAGCTCACTGATGACTTTTTGAGGGAGCAGAATTCAGATGCCATGGCCTGAGTGGGCATTGAGGGCTTAAATCGTACAAAAGGGGACTGGTTGCATTGTCTGAAATAATTTAAAACCCCTTTAAGAAACTGAAATCCTTGGGGGTACCTGGCTGGCTCAGTCTGTAGAGCATGAAACTCCATCTTGGTGTAAGTTCAAGCCCCACATTGGGCAAAATAAAAATAAAAACCGAGGTCCTTGCACAAACAAATGGGTTATAGGTAGTTGCCCTTTTTACAAGCTTGCTGATAAAGGAGGAGGGATACGTTGGTGTCAGGAAAAGATAAGGCATTCACCCCATCCTTACAGGAAAATAGCTCCTGGCTCTTTGAAATTAGCTTTCCAAAGAACAGGGAGATGAGACAGCTCCCTGCCTCCTCTGACCTCCAGAATTCAAGCTGAAGGGCTGGAGGTGGGAGAAGGATGCCCTCTTTTTTTTTTTTTTTTTTAAGATTTTATTTATTTGAGAGCGAGAGAATGAGAGATGCAGAGCACGAGAGGGAAGAGGGTCAGAGGGAGAAGCAGACTCTTGCTGAGCAGGGAGCCCGATGCGGGACTCGATCCCGAGACTCCAGGATCATGACCTGAGCCCAAGGCAGTCGCTTAACCAACTGAGCCCCCCAGGCGCCCGAGGGATGCCCTCTTTAACAACTGCTGGGTGGGGTGGGCCAACCAGACACTGCCAGGACGGGTGTGAAGAGACAAGTATCTTCAGAGGAAAGAAAGCAAACACACTGGACTCAGGCAATCCTGGGTTTGAATCTTGTCTCTGTCGCCACCTAGCTAGAAGACCTTGGGCAAGTTACTTAACCTGAACACCCAGCTCCGCATCTGTAAAATGGAAATAATTATGCCTACCTTTCAGGGTGGTTTTGAGGATTACAGAAAAGTGACTGGCACACAGTAGGTCATCGTAAGTGGGTGCTATTAAGTGATCCAGCCCCTCGCTATGGGACAGAACGGCTAACGGATGGGTCATAAAACGGGACCTTCGATCTTACAGGGTAGGGAGGGCTCTCGGCGGCCTCCTCCCTCCTGGAGGTGGGGACAAGGTGGAGGAAGGGCTGCTGGAGGAGGAGCTGGCGCGTCGCGACCCGCCCCGTCCCGTCCAGTCCGGCCTGGGCGCCGAGGGAACCGCTGTCCTAAGCCGTCGCCCCCCGAGCAGCCTGTCCTGGTGCCCCGTGCCTTGGCCCGCATCCAGTCATGACCCTGCGCCCCTCACTACTCCCACTCCGTCTGCTGCTGCTGCTCAGTGGGGCGGTGTGCCGGGCTGAGGCTGGGTTTGAAACCGAAAGTCCCGTCCGGACCCTCCAAGTGGAGACCCTGGTGAGGACAGGGTGTCCCGGGGCTGCGGCGGCTGGGGCTTGGGAGGGAATGAGGGGGTCTGAACGAACCTGGGAGCGGGGAGGAGAGCGAGTGCGGGAACTGGGCAGGGGAGTGCTGGGTGCAGGGGCAGAAACGGGATCCCTGGAGGAGCCTGCGTGACTCCCTTAGTCCGATCATAGGTGGAGCCCCCCGAGCCGTGTGCGGAGCCCGCTGCCTTTGGAGACACGCTGCACATACACTACACGGTGAGGGATCTGGGGGGCCGGGGCGGGGCCTGGGAGGGGGCGGCGCCCTGCTGGAACACGTCAGCGTTGGCTGCGACACGTGGCAAGCGGTGCGGGAGTGAAGTTGGAGCTCTGGGGTCGTCGAGCACGTGGCGGGGGGAGGGGCGCTCCTCTTGCCTGCCCATTTCCCTTCCCCGCTTTTCCGCCAGTTCCGCCCCGGCTCAGAGAAGCGGAGGGTGGGGAGAGCTCCGAGAAGTGCCAGCCCTTTGGGGCTTCCTGTTGCTTTCTGCCCAGAGGGGAATGCTGGGCTGCAGCTGCGAGGGGGTTGCCGCCGCCGCCCAAGGGCCCAGGTGAGTGTGGGGCGCGCCTGCTGAGAGGGAGCTACTAGGTGTGCGCTCCTGCTGCCCTCTCCCCACAGGGCAGCCTGCTAGATGGACGCATTATTGACACTTCCCTGACCAGAGACCCTCTGGTTATAGAACTTGGCCAAAAGCAGGTGATCCCAGGTATGTGACCTTTGCCTCCCATTCTATTTCTTCCCAACCTAAGCCCTTCTTTGCCTCCTCAAGCCCTGAAATACATTGGAAATGCCCCCAGGACTCTACCGGTCACCTCCCGAGGTTCAAATACGGCTTCTAACACTCCTTTTGCCCCATGCCCCACTGGCAACCAGGGATTTGAGAAGTGGGGAGCTCAGTTGAGGGTCATAGGGAGCCTTTGATCCTCCTCTCCTGGGATTTGGGGAATGTAGGTAGCTTCCTGTTCAGTTGTGTCTTCTTCCTCAAGGTCTGGAGCAGAGCCTTCTAGACATGTGTGTGGGGTGAGTATCTGGGCAGGGGTGGGCTTGGGTACCCCCTTTGCATGGGGGGAGGCTTACTTTGCTATCCTTGCTCCTAGAGGAGGCAGAAGAATGTGTGATAAGGGCTTTGCACTGGGCAGGTCCAGGTCACTGGGACCCCTAAGGGCATCCAAAGCCACTGTGCTGATCTGTCTGTGGGTTTTGTTGGAGGAGTTGAGGCATGTGGGGGGACAGAGGCCCTTCCTGGTCAACCTGCTTGGTGCTTAGGTGGGGAAGTTCATCATTTGGGTGAATATCCAGAGAGTTTTGCTGGTGGGGCTGCAGATGGACTGAGGCTGCTGGCCCACCTGGTCCCACCTCTAGCTGTGATTCACATTCCTTCCCTCAGAGAGAAGCGAAGGGCAATCATTCCTTCTCACTTGGCCTATGGAAAACGGGGATTTCCACCGTCTATCCCAGGTAATCCGATGAGGTCTTTCTCTCTCAAGGCAGTCAAAATACCCAGACCCTCAGAGCTCTGTCTGGAGCTTGAAAAAGTCTAAATCCAGTTTGCTGAAAAGGCCAGGGGTGGCTGGGACTCCTTCTGCAGGGCTGCTTTTTTCCTCTTCAGATCACCAACCGGGACTAGAGACCTAGAATCTGTTAAGGCTACCTGGCTTCCCTCTAGCAGAAAGCAACTTTTTAGGGAGGAGATACCTACTTGAGCCACTTGGGTCTGTTGCCTCTGCTACCCCTTCTCAGAACTCTAGACTTTTTCCTGCCTTTTCTCCACAACTCCAACCTGTGTCATCTGTGCAGTTGGCATGGCTTTCTCACCACATCTCCACCCCTCCTTTCAGCCTCCACCAGGAAAGAGGCAGTACAAATATTCACAGTCAAGTAAATCAAAACAAAGCAAAACAAAAAACAACTTTTGGAAGCCAAGCCCACCCTATAACTTTAAAAGCTATCGACAGGACACTGGACAGATTTCCTAAGATGCAGATCTCTTGCTTTGGGTTATAACAAATGTTCTATTAGCTAAAATGTTTTGTACTTCAGATTATTAGGATAAAATTTCTTATCCTAGCTCCAACTTAGAGGAAGAACCGCAAAGAGGGTCATGGGACTAAAGAAAAACTCTTTTACCCAGAGCTCTATGATCTCCCCATTTCCAGTGTTTGCATTTCTCCCTGACTCACTCTTCATTCACCTGCTCCTTACTTCTTAAGCCACCTCCTTCGTCTATGTTGAAACATCTATGTTTTCTAACAGTCACATTTCATGTGCTCATTGGTTGCTGACATTTTAAAATGTCTAGGTTAAATCCAGTTAATTTCAGCCCTGCAAAGATTCTGTCGATGTGGCTATTTGGAAATGGGAGCACAGTTAGGATAGAGGTTCTCTCACTTATCAGTGGCGAACAGCCTGTATGCCTTAGATCCACAGGAGGTTCCCCTGTCCTGTCATAGACTTGTCACTGAACACAAGCCACACTTGTAGATTTGGGGTAAACATAACTATCAGTAGTCTGCTCATAACCCTTCCGTACTTTTGTCTAAAGGAACTCAACATGTTTAAATCTTGCCAGCTTCATAGTTGTTGCTCTGGTGTGGCCTGCCCTCCCTGTTTTCATTTAGATTCTGAGCCCTGGATCAAATGCAGAGATTCTAACCCTCACCCCCTCTCTGCCTTCAGCGGATGCAGTGCTGCAGTTTGATGTGGAGCTGATTGCACTGATCCGAGCCAACTACTGGCAAAAGCTGGTGAAGGGCATTTTGCCTCTGATAGGCATGGCCATGGTGCCAGCCCTCCTGGGCCTCATTGGGTATCACCTATACAAAAAGGCCAACAGACCTAAAGTCTCCAGAAAGAAGCTCAAGGAAGAGAAACGAAACAAGAGTAAAAAGAAATAATAAATAATTTTTAAAAATTTCTCTGGATTCTTCACCTGATACTTTCTGAGGCTACTGCTGTAAGTGGGAATGAGGAAAAGGGCTGGGGAAAAAGCCATTCTGAGTTGGATCTTGCTTGACATTGGGGTGGTTGGAGGCTTTGGATCACCTCTTCCCCTGCCTCTTCTTCTTGTCCTAACTTACCGCCAAGGACCTGCTCTTGAATGTTCCCATAGGATCTCTACATCCCAAAGGTATGGGTTCTGGCCCTCCTAGTGCCCAGACTCGAAGAAGCAGTGCTTCATTGAACAATGAGCCTCCTGATAATTGCCTAGCTATTATCTCCACTCTGGGGCCACCGTATTCCTAGTATCTTCCAAGTAGACTGCTCTGTCCAATATGGCAAACATAGAAGGAGCTCATAAACCTCATGGAAATTTTTAATAGCAAAGTCCTCCGGTCTCTCAAAAAATCGTTTGGGGTTTGAAAAGCGATTTTCTCCTTCTATCACAGGATGTGGGAGATCACATGGGCTGCTTCAGTGATGTTGTAAGTAGTTGGAGGTGGTTTGTCACCTGGCTGGGTGGTAGGTGTGGACAAAGGCTGGGGTAAGTTACTTCGATGGTTGACGATAAAGAGTGGGTTGAGCTGGCTCATCACTTCGTCACTCACTGAGATGCCATCCAAGTACTGCTTCAGCATCTCCCGCAACTTCCCATTGATTTCTAACAACTGGACATGTCTGTGTTGGAGGCTCAGTTGCTCCAGTTTCACTTTGTTGTACCTTTTCCAGAAATTCTCCATCCCTGTGTAGTTTACTATCACCTGGGAGTTGGTTAAAGGGAGAAGGTGCGTGTTGAGGCCCATTAGCAAATGCAGCCCAGTACCCCATGATCCCCAGCCTTGGGGGATGGCCTCTGGACCCTAGGAACTTTTACCTTTGCAAGCTGTTCAGTAAGCTCCTCTGGGTAAATTTCTTCTATCTCCTCCTGCTCCTTGGGAGTCAAGACTGATGAATAGAAAGGCAGCACTTTTTCTTCCTCTGTTTCAAACTTCCTACATATTTCAGCAAGTTTCAGTATCTTTTCACCCTATCAGAAGCAGGAAGAGACCTTTTATTAGGAAAGGGGGTGGGGAGGAGAAATAGTGGAGCTGGTTCCCCTGCTTAAACCCAGGGAAGCAATTCATCCAAATGTGAGACAAGAATAATGAATACATCTAACACACAGTGCTTACTAGGTGCCAAACACTATTCCAAGTGTTTTACAGTCTTAGCAAATTCATTATTAATTCATTTAATTTAAAATGTGAGGGGCGGGCGCCTGGGTGGCTCAGTTGGTTAAGCGACTGCCTTCGGCTCAGGTCATGATCCTGGAGTCCCGGGATCGAGTCCCGCATCGGGCTCCCTGCTCAGCAGGGAGTCTGCTTCTCCCTCTGACCCTCCCCCCTCTCATGTGCTCTCTCTCTCTCTCTCTCTCTCTCATTCTCGCTCTCTCAAATAAATAAATAAAATCTTAAAAAAAAATAAAAAAAAAATGTGAGGGGCACCTGGGTGGCTCAGTTGGTTCAGGTCATGATTCTGGAGTCCCGGGATCGAGTCCCGCATCAGGCTCCCTGCTCAGTGGGGAGCCTGCTTCTCCCTCTGACTCCCCCCCCCCGCCTCATGTGCTCTCTCGCTCTCTCATTCTCTCTCTCAAATAAAATAAAATCTTTAAAAAATAATTAAAAAAAATAAAAAATAAAATGTGAGAGGGGAGAGAACATGGGATAAAAAAGGTACTCCAGATGTCCACTCAGGCAGGAAGCAGGAGAAAGCTCTCTACCTCTCTCAGACCCCTTTCACTTTGCAGGGAGCCAAGTTCCTTGGTTTTGTTTGACTGCCCTCTCTCCTGTTACCTTATCAACGATCCTTCTCAGGGCCTTGAGGGTGGCATTACTTTCCATGGTGAGTTTGACTAAGTTTTCCTGGGATAGTTCCCGGGCCTGAGTCCTTTGGGCCTTAAGTTTTCGCAGTTGGGCAAGGACCAGCTCCTTGTCCTTACGAATGTACTGGTTCTGGTCTTCACTCTCACGGCTGTGCACCATGATCTTGCTTTTTAAAGTCATTATGGAGTCCTGGAGGAACAGAGTTTAGAGGAAACCCTTGACAAGCGAAAGGTCTTCAATGAGACAGGTAAAAGGACAATCTGGGGACTGAAATCCAAGGATCTCGTCTTTCCCCAACCGGTGACAGGGTCCAGTGGAAGCTGGGAGAAGATGACCAGGGGATACTGGAGCAGTTAAAGCAGTGAGTATTTCCAGTTGGCTGCACTCACCTGTAGTCTCTGTATTTTTTTCATCTGTGCTTCAATCTCTTTGGAGCTCTTCTCATCTTTCACCTGCAGAGTCTCAAAGGCAATCTTTTGGTCCTCTGTGGCATCAGTGTAATTCTTGAGTGCATCCTGGAACCTTCTCCACAGATCTTCTACTGTGTTCTCCAGTTGCAGTCTTAGAAAATGCTTCTCTTCTAAATTCTAGGAAGTGGCACCAAAATAGCCAGTGCTTGGAATTAACTCTATCAGTGCCCTTTTACTGCCTCCAGCGCCCTCATCCTCTTGAACTGCTTATAACCCAGTACAGTGCAGAGGTCGCCAATGAAAATGCCTACAAAGACCAGGCAGATGATGTAAATAAGTGCTGTAAACTAGAGGGGGCCTGTGGTGAACCAGAGAAGAAATGCTCCATGGACATTGGGGGAGGGGGGTAGCAGATCTGTTCAGCTCCACACGAATGTATTCCCATTTGGAAATGTGACCCAGTGTTACCAGATCTTTTTTCAAGAGAAGCTAAGATTTTGGGTTTTTATGTGAAATCTCCCCCATTTTTCTTATATTAAAAAAATTTTTTTTTTTTTTTTAATTAAGTAGCCTCCATGCCCAACATGGGGCTTGAACTCATGACCCTGAGATCAAGAGTGAGGACTCTATGGACTGAGCCAGCCAGGCCCCACACTGAAATCTCCCAATTTTTATTATTTATTATTATTTTTTAAGATTTTATTTATTGGGGTGCCTGGGTGGCTCAGTCGTTAAGCGTCTGCCTTTGGCTCAGGTCATGATTCTGGGGTCCTGGGATGGAGTCCTGCATCAGGCTCCCTGCTCAGCAGGAAGCCTGCTTCTCCCTCTCCCACCCCCCCTGCTTGTGTTCCCTCTCTCGCTGTCTCTCTCTCTCTGTCAAATAAATAATAAATAAAATCTTAAAAAAAGAGAGCACAAGTAGGCAGAGAGGCAGACAGAGGGAGAGGGAGAAGCGGGCTTTCCTCTGAGCAGGGAGCCCAACGCAGGGCTCCATCCCAGGACCCTGGGATCATGACCTGAGCCGAAGGCAGCCGCTTAACCGACTGAGCCACCCAGGCGCCCCAAATCTCCCAGTTTTTAAATGTAGGAAGCTGGGCGCCTGGGTGGCTCAGTTGGTTAAGCGACTGCCTTCGGCTCAGGTCATGATCCTGGAGTCCCTGGATCGAGTCCGCATCGGGCTCCCTGCTCAGCAGGGAGTCTGCTTCTCCCTCTGACCCTCCCCCCATCTCATGTGCTTTCTCTCTCATTCTCTCTGTCTCTCAAATAAATAAATAAAAAATCTTTAAAAAAAAATAAATAAAAAAAAATAAATGTAGGAAGCTTATTTTAAAAAATTTACAAAACAGGGGCGCCTGGGTGGCTCAGTCGTTAAGCGCCTGCCTTCAGCTCAGGTCATGATCCCAGCGTCCTGGGATCGAGCCCCACGTCTGGCTCCCTGCTCAGCAGGAAGCCTGCTTCTCCCTCTCCCACTCCCCCTGCTTGTGTTCCCTCTCTTGCTGTCTCTCTCTGTGAAATAAATAAATAAATAAAATCTTTAAAAAAATAAAATAAAAATAAAAAAATAAAAATTTATAAAACATGGGGCGCCCGGGTGGCTCAGCCGGTTAAGCGTCTGCCTTCAGCTCAGGTCATGATCCCAGGGTCCTGGGATCGAGCCCCACGTCGGGTTTCCTGCTCTGCGGGAAGCCTGCTTCTCCCTCTCTCACTCCCCCCTACTTGTGTTCCCTCTCTTGCTGTGTCTCTCTCTGGCAAATAAATAAAAAATAAAATCTTTAAAAAAAAAAATAGGATGGTGGATAGCACTTTGGGCCAAGGGCAGACCTGGATTCTCCTGGTTCTATCACAAAACAGCAGCATGACTTTGGCAGATCATTTTATTTCTTTGGGCCTTAGTTTCTTCATCTACAAATCACCGGGGTGAAGCCAAATGATCTCCTTGGTGCCTTTTAGCTTTAAAATGCATTTCCTTGACATTTCAGAATGGTTCTTCCCAACCAATTTCTACAAAATTACAAAATGCAGTAGGGGTACAGGCATTTTCTTGGTTGTGTTGGTTAGGTGTCTCCAGGACCTCCAGTGGCCTAGAGCATTTTTCTCTCCCTTCTCTCCCAGCTCTTGCCCAGCTACTCTCCTTCCATACCTTGTTTTTGAGATCATCCCACAAGCTCTGGAACTCCAGCTTACTTTCATACTCAGCATCTATATAGTTCTGCTCCATGGCCATGAAGACATCTTGTAGGTAGTGAATCTCTTTTTCATGCTGGTCAATAATTGTCTTCCTGTGGGATATAAGACACTGTCCCTGCTCTGAAGGATAAAGCATATGGACCAAAAAGGACTCAAAGCAGTATGTAGTAAAACTATATGAGTGGTTCAAACTCCTAGGTACTGAAGGGTCAGAGAGGGAGGGTAGGCTGTCTTCATTTTAGGGTCAGAAAGAGTGAATAAGATTATTTTGATTTTTGAATAGGCAGTACATTCATATGATACGCAAAGCAATAAAGTACAAAATGTTTCAGTGAGAAGTCTCCCTCCCCTCCCTGTCCCCTGCCAGATAGGTTGGATTTTGATAGCTGAAAGTAGGTGGTGAGGGTGTTACAGATAGAGACCTGGCATGGGCATAGGGAGGCTAAAGCCACTAGCTTAAACCCACATTAGTTTAGAAGGCACTCTGGATGTTCTCTGGTGGGGGTCATGTCCTAAGCAAGATGGGATGCTCCAGGTTGCTAGCCACCTGCTTAGAGGTAGCTCCTTGACACAGGCTCTGGATACTCTCCTGGACTCCATCCCCGGTTTCCTCTTGGGTCCCCATACCTTTCTGTCTCAAACTCTTTGGTTAGGGCCTCCAGCTCTGTGTTGTAACTCTCCTCTAGGAGGTTGAGCCGGCGTCTCTGCAGGGCTAAGAGCTGGTCAATGCTGTGCAGGTGGCCGCGCAGGGCGTGGGCGTACTGCTCCTCTGCCTCTGACAGGTCCTTGGCTAAAGACTGGGTAGGAAACAGAATTACCATTTTGGCTGAATGGCATCAGTGCAAGAAAATAAAAATGTCTTCAGCTGGATGGCATGAATGGCATTTTCCCCTAGTTCCTGATGCCGGCTCTCTGGCTCTAGGAGAGCTGGTTCTCTGACTCATGATTGGAAAGTGAGAGTGACATTAGGGAAGCCCAGGTAGCCAGGCGGGGTCCTAGGCACAACAGATGTTTATAACGATGAGGTTACCCCAAAAAGGAATTGAGGATTTTTGTCTTTTCATCCCCGAATCTTTGGCATCCAGCACAGTGCTGGTCATGACAGGTTTAGTAAACACTGGCTGAGTGAATGAAGAGGCTTCCACTATCAGCACCTATTTCAAAAGATCCTGTTTCAGGGCGCCTGGGTGGCTCAGATGGTTAAGCGTCTGCCTTCGGCTCAGGTCATGATCCCAGGGTCCTGGGATCGAGTCCCGCATCGGGCTCCCTGCTCCTTGGGAGCCTGCTTCTCCCTCTGCCTCTCTCTCTCTCTCTCTCTCCGTCTCTCATGAATAAATAAA